CACTTTGTCACATATGTGGAGCTAACAAACAAATATCAATATATGCACTTTGTCACATATGTGGAGCTAACAAACAAATATCAATATATACACTTTGTCACATATGTGGAGCTAACAAACAAATATCAATATATGCACTTTGTCACCTATGTGGAGCTAACAAACAAATATCAATACATACACTTTGTCACATATGTGGAGCTAACAAACAAATATCAATATATGCACTTTGTCACATATGTGGAGCTAACAAACAAATATCAATATATGCACTTTGTCACATATGTGGAGCTAACAAACAAATATCAATACATACACTTTGTCACATATGTGGCGCTAACAAACAAATATCAATATATACACTTTGTCACCTATGTGGAGCTAACAAACAAATATCAATATATGCACTTTGTCACATATGTGGAGCTAACAAACAAATATCAATACATACACTTTGTCACATATGTGGAGCTAACAAACAAATATCAATATATGCACTTTGTCACATATGTGGAGCTAACAAACAAATATCAATACATACACTTTGACACATATGTGGCGCTAACAATCAAATATCAATATATACACTTTGTCACATATGTGGAGCTAACAAACAAATATCAATACATACACTTTGTCACATATGTGGAGCTAACAAACAAATATCAATATATACACTTTGTCACCTATGTGGAGCTAACAAACAAATATCAATACATACACTTTTTCACATATGTGGAGCTAACAAACAAATATCAATATATGCACTTTGTCACATATGTGGAGCTAACAAACAAATATCAATATATACACTTTGTCACCTATGTGGAGCTAACAAACAAATATCAATATATGCACTTTGTCACATATGTGGAGCTAACAAACAAATATCAATACATACACTTTGTCACATATGTGGCGCTAACAAACAAATATCAATATATACACTTTGTCACCTATGTGGAGCTAACAAACAAATATCAATATATGCACTTTGTCACATATGTGGAGCTAACAAACAAATATCAATATATGCACTTTGTCACATATGTGGAGCTAACAAACAAATATCAATATATGCACTTTGTCACATATGTGAAGCTAACAAAGAAATATCAATACATACACTTTGTCACATATGTGGAGCTAACAAACAAATATCAATATATGCACTTTGTCACATATGTGGAGCTAACAAACAAATATCAATATATGCACTTTGTCACATATGTGGAGCTAACAAACAAATATCAATATATACACTTTGTCACATATGTGGAGCTAACAAACAAATATCAATATATGCACTTTGTCACATATGTGGAGCTAACAAACAAATATCAATATATACACTTTGTCACCTATGTTGAGCTAACAAACAAATATCAATATATGCACTTTGTCACATATGTGGAGCTAACAAACAAATATCAATATATACACTTTGTCACATATGTGGAGCTAACAAACAAATATCAATACATACACTTTGTCACATATGTGGAGCTAACAAACAAATATCAATATATGCACTTTGTCACATATGTGGAGCTAACAAACAAATATCAATATATGCACTTTGTCACATATGTGAAACTAACAAAGAAAGATGCGCCCAGTCACGGAATCATGCTTATTTAGGGCTACATTTTATGTTCTGTGACTAGGGCTTAACCAGGGGCAGTTGTTGTTTTGGTTTTTTTTTTACACTGGGTCGGGTTATTTTGACCAGCAAGCCCCTCATAGACAGTCCAACCCCTGACCAGCCGGCCTTTAAACAATAGACCTGCTGACAATCCAACATATAGTCCTACAGTGGTAACCCCGCTATAACGCGATGATCGGGGTCCATAAAATCGGATCGCATTAAAAGTGGATTGCGTTAATGTGCGGTTTTACAATCCTTCTACCGGAAGAAAGCCTCGTTTTCGGCATTAGTTTTGATGCTAGTTTTAACGTGGTGCGATATTTTGAAAAGTTGGGATTTTTGTTCGCTTTAAAAAAAAATGGCTTTCCAAGCACTGGATAAAATTTTCAAAGAAGTCAGGCCTGATGAAGTAAATGAATTTCAAATTTCGGGAGCCATGCTACGACCGCGTTATATCCGAATTTGCGTTATGGCGGGGCGCGTTATAGCGGGGGTTCCACTGTACACACCATAACCGTCGCTCGTCATTGATTAATATAATATTTGCCTCACACTGAAGAACATTTTTTTTAAACCTGAATTCACACGCCACGCCTTTGATTTTTCCACCCAGTACCATTAATGTACACTATGTGGAGTTGGGGAAGGGTGGATTCGAGAAGGAAGCAGGACACACCAGATGGAAAATATATTTAAGAAATACGCACAAAACGAAACATGAAGTAATGCCGTGACAACTAAATAGCATAATTCACAGTTTATTGGGTTTAAATTCATCAGTCATCATAATATTTAGTGTGGGTGGTGGTGAGGGGGGGGTCATTGGGGGAGGGGGGATAAGGGTGCGATAAAAGCGAAGCTCTAATTTCGTTTTTTTTTAAGAATCGTAAAGTTTTAGAACCAAATTATATCTAAAGCGATCATCCCGTGTTAAAAACTACCAAGTTGTTTAAATTTCGCTAAAATTTGAAATTTAAAAAAACGCGGTGACATTAGAAGCCCTCCATTAGAAGCCCTCCTTTAGAAGCCCTCCTTTAGAAGCCCTCCTTCTTGCGTTTAGGCCTGACGCCTAGAGGACGCTGTCGCTATCGTCATGGTCATGGTCATGGGACTTTCGGGACTCATTGGTCGTGGAGTTATCGTCTTCGCTGCCTCTCATATGAGTTCTGCTTAACAGGAATAACCCACACACGGGCACCATCAGAATGAATGGCAGATACATCAGGTACTTTTTTAACACGCTCGGGCATTCACCCGTGACCCTGTTGACGCAGTCGTCGCCGCACTTTTCCGAGCACTTCGCCCGGCAATCGGCACCGTACTCGTTTGCACCGCACGCCTCGTCGCACCCGCGAAACGAATTTTTGAACCCGTGTTTACACCCTATGCACGCCCCGGTCTTACTATCGCAGGCTTCTGCGCAGTTGATGCACGAGCTCTGGCAGTTTGTCCCCCAGGTGAAATTTTTGCACATAGGAACGCAAAATTCACTTTTCCCACAAGTTATGTTCGATGACTCTAATTCGTTGCCTTCACAGGGAAGACCCCCGAATCTGGGGGCCGGATCGCTGCACGTACGAGCTCGGGATGAAAAGGTGATGTCACACGAGTGTATGCAGCCCCAGGGCTCCCATTCTCCCCACCCCCCGTGTATTGGAGGCTTATTGGCTCCATGGGTGTCCTCGTCGATTTTGCCGTCACTGTCGTCGTCCACGCCATTGATCGTTTCCTCGTCTACGCTCCCGTCGCAGTCGTTGTCGATGTCGTCGTCGGGAACCGCCGTTCCTAAGCTCAGGGTGCAGCTTTCGTTGAATCCGGCCGGATACATGTACTGTGATCTGAACTTCATACCAAATACGTA